CTCAGAAATGGAATGGACGTGCCTTTTCGATTTTTCATATCATTCACAGAAAGGAAATTTTCTAAGTTTTCTAAGTGACACAACATTTTTCGGAAACAGTTCAAAGAAAATGATCAACTATGTTACCGTTGGAAAGAGAATTGAACTCAAAATAATGTGTCACTTGACCCCCCCCCCCCGTCCAAATTGAGATTCTAAGGGCAACATCTACCCCTCCTAGGGGGTTGAACCAAGAGGGCTAAAACTAATCATATCAAGTGTCCTTCTCGAAAATAAAATAGACCAATTTCTTCGATTTCTCATAATTATTCACTGAAAGGAAGATATTGAGAGTGGGAAATTTTTAAAATGTCACCCTGTACGTCCGAAGTCACCACACCTTGCCTGGTGACTTTGGACACTCTTCAAATGAAATAATAAAATATTTCTGTTGAAAATGGCAATGGTTTCATATCACAATTCAATAAATCAATACAAGTGCTACGTTGAGTGAGAATTTTGGAGACGAAAAAACTATTTTTCCCAAAAAAAAACTGTTAAGAATCCGAAGTCTCTTTTTTGACGGTACACTTTGCACTAGGTGAATTGTATAGGGTATAGTGTACAGGGTATTAAAAAAAAATCAAATCCTAACATGCTTACCACATATTCGTAGGCAATCAAAAGGTAGATCACATTTTTTAGTAACATTTTGATTCAAAATGACAACTAGAACATTGGTTGTATGAATTATTATAGTAAGTTGATATTTCGATTGGATAATCATCTATATCCATCATTATTATCCACCTGAGATTACAATCTTATCTTGACGTATAAAGTCATCATGTATGATTTGATGTTTCGATTGTTTTACTGATACAATTATACAATTATAATCACTATAAGAACCACTTACCGCAAATCTAAAGCATATAATATGACCAAATACTATTGAAAATTTATGTGTTTGTGATAAATTTTCCTCGATTTTTTAGAAATTGAAAAATGATAATCCGAGAAAATGTGTATCGAATTCAGTTCAGTAGAAACTGCTCTAGAGCTGTCGCTTCCAAACAGGCAGCATTCCATCGATGGCAGAAAAATCCGGGCCCTGAAACTAGAGCAGAATATGTCGAGGCTAGAGGCATATGCAATGAGACAATTCGATCATCAAAGGATGCTTATAATGCCAAAATAAGATCAAAACTTGTTGAATGTCCTAACGGATCCCGTTCATTTTGGTCCGTCGCCAAAACTGTAGGAAGAAACTTCCAGCTCGTTTCCTCCTCTAACCAAGAAAGATGTAACACTAGCCACAACTGCCCAGGAGAAAGCCAACATTTTTGCGCATTCATTTGCTAGAAATTCCACTCTGGATTCATTGGGAAAACAACCTCTAAACATAACACCAATTGATAGTCATATGCCCGAGATCACCTTTCGCCAACGTACTATGAGGAAGATTTTATTGGGTCTCAACACCAACAAAGCTTATGGCTCCGACGGAATCCCACCGATTGTTCTCAAGAAATGTGCTCCCGAACTATCACCTGTTCTCTTCAAGTTTTTCAACTACTCTCACAAATTGGGGATATTCCCGTCCAACTGGAAAATTGCAAGAGTACAACCAGTTCCTAAAAAGGCAAAAAGTCCCTACCTAGCAACTACAGACCGATCGCACTGCCATCTATCATTTCAAAGATCATGAAGAAAGCTATCAACATCGAGCTCATGAAATACCTGGAACATTTTGGTATTATTAACGATAGGCAATATGGCTTCCGTCATCAGAGATCAACTGGTGACCTGCTCGCTTACGTCTCACATATATGGCAGCAATCTATTGAAAAATATGGTGAAACCTTAGCAGTCGCACTTAATATCTCCAAGGCATTCAATCGAGTCTGGCACTACAGACTCCTCGCCAAGCTTCCATCTTATGGCTTGCCTCCCCAGTTATGTTCTCTGCTAGCTAGTTTTCTCTCAAACAGGTCTCTTTATGTAGTGGTCGACGGAGTTTCATTTGACTCTCTTGTCATAAATGCTGGTGTTCCGCTTCGCGGATGATAGTACCCTTCATACCGCTTCTGTTCCAAGGCTCCAATACCAGCCAGGCAAATCAGAAACAAAGGAGGGAGAAATGTTGACAACATAAATATGGCCTTGGCAACAATTCCCTAATGGGGATCCAATAACTTGGTAGATTTCAAATCAAACAAAACGTAAGCATGAATTTTCTCTAAAAAAGCTGATCTCACTGTGCCCAACATAAGCTTGTCAGGAGTTACCATACCTTTGAAGACATTCATTTTGATGCCTGGTATCACTATCAGCAATAACCTCTCTTGGGAAAATCACGTGAGATCAATTGCTAAAAGTGCATCCCAAAAACTTGGTTTTCTGTTTCGTGCCAAGAGCTATTTCACTTCCAGTCAGCTGCTCATGATCTATAAGGCACATATCTGACCTGTCCTGGAATAGTGTTCCCAAATTTGGAGTGCAGCTCCCAAACATACCCTGAAACTGTTGGATTCTGTACAAAAAAGGGCAATTCGTCTCGTGGGTGATGCCTCGCTCACAAAGTCACTCACTTCTCTGGAACACCGTAGAAAAGTTGCCGATCTGGCTTTATTTTATAGATATTTTCATGGACGATGTTCTTCTGAAATATCAACAATTGTTCCTCCCTTGGCAGTTCCCGGGAGATTAACCCGTCGAGTTGAGTCTTCGCACCCCTTCGTGGTCACTTTGGAGACCTGTAGAACATCTCTTTCCAAAGACTCATTCATTCAACGAACAGCGAGGCTCTGGAACACATTGCCAAGGGAGGTGTTCCCCGAGGCATATAACCTCCAAATATTCAAGAAGAACACCAATTCCTACCTCATTTCCCTTGGTTCTCACAATATTCTCTGAACATTACAGGATATCCCTTTTCGTGGGAACCAGAACATAAAAAAAAGAAATTATATTGATTTTTCATAAGGTTCAGTCCACGACAACGTCACAATAAAAAAATATGATGATTTCCATGTCAGAGGGCTCCAAAAAGGATTACTTCCAGTGTAGCTACGTCTATTGATAAGGACATGGACTGTTCATATTGCCGATAGAAAATAAATCACCTAATTTCAAATCGGTTGGTTTCATTTAAGCTGATATAAAGAATTGAAACCAAACATGTATGCAAACTTGAACACCTCGTATAATAAAAACAAGCTTTTCCACGACAAAACAAAGATGCGTATCTGATATTTTAATTATTGCTATATATTGTCAAAGTCAGACGAGTTGAACCTGAGACACCCTGTTTAGAGGGGGAGCGTTTAAAGTGAGACACGCCGTATACCTTGGTATTCAATTTATTGAAAGTTCAGTAGAAGACATTTTTCTTCTTATTTTTATCTAGTTAATCATAACGGATACAAAGTCGATTGAATTGAGGCAAAGTTGTGCAATGTTTGAAAATTTCGAATACTTCCGAAGTTATTTGAAAAAAACTGAATATTCGCGATTTCGTCTTAATTTTTCAATTGATGACACAATAATCATTTAATCATTGCCACTTTCATCGCTCTATAAATAATATCAATAGATTCTTGATATGACGTTTCATCTTCGAGGAGCCATCAACAACTTTGCTGATTCGAATAGAAAAAAAAAACGTTCTGTTCTTATAGAAAATTCAATGGGCGTGTACACCTTAGTAGAACTTTTAACTCAAACCATGTTTAAAATGATCCTTTTATACATAAATAATGATTGTCGACATAATTCGATCGAAAAATTAACTGGAATATTTTATTTTTGGGCATGAATAATAGTACCTTCTGAAAACGGACCCTCTTATGACGTAGAAACCTCATCTCGACATAGTTTAAAGAAAATACCAAACTCCCGACGGAGACTGAGGCAACTGATATATTTAAATCTCTCAACTGTGATCTCGCGCTAATTCACTCTGTCAGAAATCATGTATCATTCATCTCTGTCTGGAATAGTCTTGTTTCACTATTAGGGTTTTGACGTCTCATCATCGCCTCGTTTTCAGAGGTCCGAAAAATCGGGGATTTCCATAATTTTTTATAAAACGTAGGGAGCTCACAGCAAGAAACGGTTTGCGGTGGTGAGCTAGTTTGGGTGAGTGCTATCGAATTATGGAATAAAGGAAGAAAAAAAAAACTAGGGGCTCAAAGTCGGTCGCCCCTAGTTTTTTTTCTTCTTGAAAATACTGTGGACCACTTTGAGAAAATGGATGATTTTCATGATTTATGGAATAAAAATTATTTGTGATATATAAGCTCGTTGAAATTCTGAATCCAATGACATAATACACTTCACAATTATACGACGTTTCGAGTCAAGAAATCATCATCAGTATAATTTGATGATGGTGGCCAGAAAAACGAAACGTTGAATCTGAGACGGCATCTTGTGGCGAAAGGAAAATGGCTACAAAAATGTCAGATCAGCGTAAAATAATTTCTTGGAACTATAAACTTCGAGAATAACTTTCCATTTTATTTCACTAAAAGAGATATACCAAAATAAATAATATGATCTTTTCGTGGCCATTCTTACTTCTCTACAAGTTGCCGTCATGTGATTTTTGATCTGACGTTTCGTTTTATCGTAACCATCATCTAATACTACTGATGATGATTTTTTTTTGAAACGTTGGATAATTTTGAAGTGATGTAAACATGTCGTTGGATTCAAAATTGGTATTAGAGTTTCTTCTCTTTTTCGCCCTTCAAAAAAACAAAGTTGATGATCTAAAAAATAAAGTCAGAAAACAAGACGGAATCACGGAGATTCGGATTTTTTCGAATATCTTCGGAAGTATTCGGAATTCCTACCTTTGAGGCGACATGTTGATAAGCATCGAATTAATTGTGCAACTTATTCTTGCCTTTTTGTATATGTTATGGTTACCGAGATCACAATAATGATACCCCTCGAATTTGGGACACACTGTACAGGAATTTGTTTGTTACCAAAATAAAAAAAAGATTCTGCTTTATTACTTTTTATTCACGTATAAAATCAATCAGACTCAGAAAGTAGTATAGGGCTTGATAGCCATTTGTTCGTAAACTTCCACCCATTTTGGGAAGACGTCACCTTTAGGATTCTTCTTGATAGTTAAGGTGTCGTTTATATCCAGATACTGGAAATTATCTGGATCAACTGTGGGCCAGTCAATGTTATCAAACAGGCTTGATGGTTCTGGAGTAGGATCTCTGAAAAATCAATTTATCATACAGGGTGTTTCCTAATGGAATGTCAATATATTTGAGGAGGTAATTCTTGGGCCCATTTTTAAAAGAATATTCCATATCAACGTATGACCTGAACGTCATAACTTTTGAGATACAGAGTGGAAGATTTTTCAAAAATAAATTGTTTTCCATTAATATCTGTAATACCACTTCAGATATTCTAATTAAATTTGTGTCAAGAGGTATCAGTTAGCGTACCTCATTTTCATGTGTTGCCACCAGTGGCGTTCAAATGGAATTTTACATACATATTTTGGCTGACATTGATGGTACGAAACTGATTCATCTCGAAATTGAAATAATTCCTGAAATTTTCAATCATCTCTAGGCAAATTTCCGCAATTTTTCTAAATCTGTTGCATGGTTTCCGCCTAAAAAAATTAAACCTTTCCAAAACATGATCATCATAACAATATCGTTAATATGACAATATCACAATGCAGAGAAATAGATTTTATTTTGCAAGTGTAAACCGTGATTCGGACTCATACAATTCAAGAGATCATGAACTATGAATTCAATACCTGAAATTTGATTTGATAAATGAAATTTATTTCTCTGCATTGTGTTATTGTCATATTTACGATATTGTTATAATCATCTAAATGATTGAGAATCTTAGGAATGATTTCAATTTCGAGATTTACCAGTGGCGTACCTACCATTTTTGTCGGTCAAAATAATAATGTGAAATTTCATACGAACGCCACTGGTGTCATCCACAAAAATTGTGGTACAGTAACTGATGCCTGTTGATACATAGTACATGTATACTTATGATTTCATCAGAATAGTTGAAGTGGTATTACAGATAAAAGTAAATAAAAAACTATTCATTTTTGAGAATGTAACCACCCTGTGTCACAAAAGTTAATACGGTCAGGTCATACGTTCATATCCAATTTCCTTTACAAAACTAGCGCTTCTTCGACGCTCTTCTATCGACAGCCTTCAAATAGTATCAGCTCAGAAATGTTTTATATTTTTAGGTCTCAACTCTGACTACAATGGACCATTTCATACACTGGATACTAATATTAGTATATCAGAGTAGTGTTATTCAACACTCAGATGCAGAAAATGAAACACCGCTTCTCAGCGTGAAAACAATAAAAAGTGTGTTTTCACAAAAGAAAAATATTCGCATATCATATTATCAGTAAAAGCGAAAACGCAAAAGATACAGTGTCAAAATAATCACTACATGATTGTTATAGTACACCACTCTGGTGTTGAATAACACGAACCGATTAAATTACCACTAGGTATTATACTCTAGTGTAGTTCTTGACTGAATGTTAGAACGAATAACACCCTATGATGGTGTTTGAAATATCAGTGTTAATTCTCACTAAAATAATCAGGAACTCAGGGGACACCCAAGGGTGCCAGCTGGTGTGAATTGGTGTTATTTTTGTTCACTGTGTAGGGAGATTATAAGTGATAGTTGTTCGTGCACTCGTATTTTATTCTGTTCATGGAATAGAATAGAATGGAATATATTCAGTATTAGGGACAGAACATTACATTATGTTTATACAGTAGAATACAAATAATGATGAAAATCAAGAAGCCTCTGTACACAATTTCCTTATTCCCTTATTGTGACGAAGGGATATAATTGTTTCATATAAGGTTCTATCGTGACTAATATTGATTTTATATTTTTTTTGAAACTAGTGGAGGTTTTGATTTGATTGATATGTCTTATGTAGTGGAAATGAAAATGTTTCTTTCCGTCTCTTATTGTGAGAATGATTATGTAAGGAATCATTGTTGTGTTTTTGTATACAAAATTGACACATTCAAAGACATATGCACCAGGGAATGTCAAGAGATTGAGTTTTTTAAAATAGCCACGACAAGATTCTAAAGTTTTCAAGTTAGCCAGAATACGAATTGACTTTTTTTTAATGACAAATACTTCTTGACTGTGTGAACCACCCCAAAATATTATACCATAACACATGATTGAATAGAAATGTCCAAAGAAGGCTGCCACGATAGCATCGTGATCTACAACTGTCCTAAGTGATTTAAGAGCATAACTTGCCTTACTGAGTCTACCACAGAGCAGTGATACCCATCCCATATGTTTATCAATGGTAACGCCAAAAAATTACGCAGAGTTGGCATGTGAAATAGCACTATTATTCAAATTTATGTTTTCTGGAAAAACCTGTGAGTTTCTGCTGTGTCTAAAGAGGATGCAATTGGTTATAGTGATGTTTAATAGTAGAGAGTTATCATGAAACCATCAGTTGGAGACTTGAGAAGTAACTACTACAGTTTTTCAACTTAATTCTTCAAAACACTTGTCAGCATTCAGAATGTTTGTGTCATCTGCATAGTTTGTTAATTTGATAGACGGACACCTGACAACATTAGCTAGATCGTTGACATATAGGATAAACAATAAGGGACCAAGCACACTGCCCTGTGGCACTCCTATAGAAATGGTTTGTGTGCCTCAAAAATGATCTGTTGCGCCATCTTTGATACATACTTTCTGGTAGGTAAATATATATCCAACTGAGATAATGCCTTTTTACGTTACTCCAGACGAGTATCATTCTGTCGAGTGGCACTTCACAAATCAACAAAAAAGTGTAAAGGGTGTAACTTGAATAATGGGCGTGTACACCTTAGTAGAACTTTCAACTCAAACCATGTATATAATGATCATTTTATACATAAATAATGATTGATGAGATAATTCGATCGAAAAATTAACTGGAATGTTTTATTTTTGGACATAAATAATAGTACTTCTGAAAACGGACCCTCTTATGACGTAGAAACCTCATCTCGCCATAGTTAAAAGAAAATACCAAACGCCCGACAGAGACTGAGCTGACTGAGGCAACTGATATATTAATTCTTTCAACTCTTATCTCGCGCTAATTCACTCTGTCAGCTGTCAGAAATCTTGTATCATTCATCTCTGTCTGGAATAGTCTTTTTCAGTATTAGGGTTTTGACGTCACATCATCGCCTCGTTTTAAGAGGTCCAAAAAATCGGGGATTTCAATGATTTGTTATAAAACGTAGGGAGCTCACAGCAAGAAACGGTTTGCGGTGGTGAGCTAGTTTGGGTGAGTTCTATCGAATTATGAAATAACATTTTTTTGTGATATAAGCCCAAGTTGGTGGTGGCTCTTCAGGAAGAAGTTGACTTTGACACAATTACTTCGAAGTTATTTGGGTTTAACAAAAGTGTATTTTTTTTTCAACAGCAATACTGAGATATTAGCTGTATGAGAAAATCAGGGACACTCGATATGGCTTTGGAATTTTTTGTACTTATACTTACAAATACTTCGCGAAGTTCGTGAATAACGTCGTATAACGATTGGACGTCAAAATATCTTCTGGTTTTTGATAGTTCATCCCACTCCAGTTTCCGTATGTCCATATAAAAGCGTTGTCATCAGAATGACCCACCTTGTAGGCACCTGAACAGAGCAAAATGAGGTGCAATATTATCATTCTAGGGAACTTGGAATTTGAGGCTTCATCATTTTGTTTTTGTTTTTCAATGATACGTTTCACTAACATATTCTACTTCACAAATTAATTCTATTTAAATTCATACTTTCTGTTGATTAATCGAGGAGGTGGTACATTCATTTTTCCAAATTTTTTGGGATTTTCTCTCCTCGTTTCTATAAAGTGAAAATATGAATATTATTTCAATACACGTTTAGGATGGACAAATTAGTTGATTTGCCCCGAAATTTCACTGCGTTTGAAGAATTTTCCTATCAAAGAGCCTAAAAGGAAAATTCACTAGCTTGTCAGTGACAATTCGTATTGAAAAAGGTTTGGAGAAGAGAAATTTTCACTAATCTTTGGAGCAGATTCGGTTCCAAAACGTAAAAACAGCAAATGAATTCCGTACACATATATCAAGAAAGGTGTTGTACCTCAATTGGAATAAGTTCGATTTGTATACAAGTGATAGTGATGGAACGGGGTTCGAATCCCATGGCGGTCGTCCTTTTTTTTAATTCGTTATTCGAATGTATCAGCAGGCATGTACTGGACCTGATAACCAACCACGTATGGTTAGGAGGTTATGGTTTGGAAGTTATGGTTCGGAAGTAACCAAGTAACCAATGCAATACCATTATAGAAGTGGCAAAACTGAATACCGCGATCAATCTAATGCAACTTATATACGATACGACTTATACAAAGTGCTTCAATAAAATCTGACCCCCTTACAAGTGTAGGTAGAACACTGCAAAATAAGTTGGGTTTACCTAGTGAAGAAATTTCGTAACTTCATCCGTTATCAAGATACAAGGTGTTGAAAAAATGATTATTTTACACATTTTGCAAGATTATGTCGAAACTACTGACAATATTGTGATGCAATTTTGCATGGATTCTTCTTGGAATCTGACACATCGCATGCATTTGTTTTTATACCTGACTCTCATAGAGGGCGCTAGTTACACGGTTCGTACCGAGTAGTTTTGAACATAACTTTTTTGAGGTTTTATTTTTCAATCCAAATTTGATGTGAACTTGAACATCATTCAATTCCACACCAAAAAGACACTATTGGTAAAACTCGATACTGTGTCCGTTTCCGGAATATTTCGATTTGAAAATGATGAAGTGATAACTGTTGCTGGTATAAAGCTATGTATTAGAGTGAGTATTAGGAAAAATTATAACCTATTTATTGAATACCGATAACGACAATACATTTCTGATGCTAAACTCATTGATTTAACAATGAATCACAAGAATAACATCGAAACAGATTTGACTAAGAACATGCATGGATTACACAGTTTTGTTGTATCTTGAGCAGAAAGTCTATGCTACATAGGTAAATTCACGTCAAGAGTTGTGAGACATAATTGAACATCACTCAAAAGACATAACAGCTGATCCTGATCTGTTTAGAAGAATAATACATTTAAAAAAAAAGGATATAGAATCGCGTATTCGTCGAAACGTAGGACATTTTGAACACTTACTCTAACTGATTCAATATATCATGTTTCTATATTCAAATATCTCTTAATTCAGCACAAAAATAATTTTATTGGTTTTGAATCTGAATAAATAGGTAATTGAACTCAATATAATTCATTTTACGCCAGCATCATTACTACTCCATTATTTTCAAATCGAAATATTCCGAAGACAGAACATTGTATCGAGTTTCACCAAGAGTACCTTTTTGAAATTGAATTGAATGATGTTCAATTTCATATCATATTTGGATTGGAAAATCTAACCTCAAAAAAGTTATGTTCTATACTACTCGGTATACGAACCATGTAACTAGCGCCCTGAATGAGAGTCAGATATAAAAACAAATTCATGCGATATGTCATTACATTACAATGTTGCCAGTAGTTTCGACATAATCGTGAAAAATGTTTAAAAAATCATTTTTTCAACACCTTGTATCATGAAAACGGATGCCGTTACGACATTTTCTCACTGAGCAAACCCAACAGGATTTTTTGAAACACCCTGTATATTGTGTGAAGTCAATTCTTATGGAGAGCTAGCGTTTTCGAGAGGGGATTATTTTCATTATAGAAAAAATAGTTATTCATGTACCAAGGACGGAACACTGTCTGTCATAGTCTAATCTGCAAATTGATAGCCGATGCCTCACCGAGGCTAACAATCAGGCGAGACAATAGACAGCTTTTCGCCAAGGTGCATATTAAATTTTTTCGACGACCTCAAACATTTATATTCACAACATTCAATTCATGCTTGAAATCTATCGGATTTCGTGAATAATTAATTTGACAAACAGAAAATGACAGTTGTTGTCTAACTCTCCGCGCGGACCAAGGATGCCAGTTCTATTCTTATTCCATCAGTAAATACCTTGTCGAAATTCAGTAGATTTCGATAGACCAATAGACATGTTTGAGATCTATTTAATTTTTACGAATTCCAAGAAGAAATTATGAAATAAACCTTTTAGGTCAAAACATAATGGACTATTTTCACAACAAAATAATGAACATACACAAGAAACATTTTCATACAAAAATCATCAATTCAAAAATCCTCACAATGATCACAAAATACAGTTACATAGATAATTATACGATTTGAGTATATAAAGAAAAGGAACGAATAGTAAAAATGAACAGAAAAACCAAAACAAATTGACAAAATAAACGCAGACGCAGACTGTGTTTCCCAAATAACACACTTATTCCCCATGGATATCCTTAGGACGTCCTGTCGGGACACTCAGGACGTCCATAGGACGTTTGAATTTGGTACCGTGGACGTCCATTGGACGTCTGTGGAACGCACAAATGTCCCACTTGAGGACCAACTAGGGACGTCCTTGAGGGATGTCCCTGGGACAACTATCGAATACCTGAATCCTACAGTATTCCTCATCAAGCACTACAGAGGACATCCTTAGGACATCCATAGGATAACCTATGAGCAACACTGAGGGATATCAATTGGATGTCCATTGGATGTCCCAGGGACGTACGAATTATTCTTGAATTTGAATTTTTCTGAGTCCCTCTGGGACCAGATCTTGCATAACTGATTAGGACATCCAGTTGAGTTGATGGTCCGTAGAAGGTCCCCAAAAAGTTTCCCAAGGATGTCCAATGGACTGACGTGAAGGACAATGACGAGGAGTACTTAAAGCCTACGAGCAATCATTCGTCGGTGAGGTGTAAGTTAACGTCCTAGCAGGGACAACATATTGAAAGTACCGACTGGGACGTCCATAGGACGTTATTTATAGGACATTGAAAGAGTAAAATTCTAAGGGACATTCGAAGGATGTCCCTGAGGCACATTTCGATTGTTATACGATCCTGGAAATATCAAGTGCGTCTGTGCAGAGATATTCGAAGGAATGTACCATCAGGGACATTTCATGGTTGTCTAGAAGGGACATTATATAAGATCTGAAGTCATGCCAGAATATGTACTACTCGGGACATGGATGTCCCTAGAGGAACGTTTAAAATCATATCCCATCAGGGACATGCCAAGGACGTCCTTGCATGGACATTCTACAATATGTCAATATGTACCACGTGGGACGTCTGAGGGATGCTATTTCTAGGACATTTGAAATGATGTACCATCTGGGACATTCCATGGACGTCCTTGCTCGGACATTGCATGTGATGTACGGGATGGGACGTCCCTATAGGACGTTGTGTGCTATTAGGGTTGTGTAACAGATATATGAAAAATCGAATTTGATCTTAATCAGATGAAGTATTGTCCTTTTTTTAGTTTATTCATATCATTAGTACCTATTATCACTTATTTCGTGAAATTAATTCAAACAGAGCGTGCCGAAATATCATGCAATTCATAAGAGTTTATGTGATAAACTAAAGAATGATAATATAATACAGATAATTTCAATAATATATGTGTGTAAAAATATTTTTCAGTAGATTATGGAATGTTTCAGTAGATCAGTAGATCAATTTGCCAATCAGGAGATCTGCTGAAAATTCACTAGAGCTGGCAACCCTGCAGCAGACGAAATGTGTTCGTGTACGAAAAGTACGTGTCTGCGGAAGAAAAGTACTTGCATTCGGTAATAGTCGGTTTCTCGTTCGGAAGTTATAACTTAAAATGTGATTTTTCGCTGAGGTCGACGGGAAATATATTTTTGGTGACTTTGATTAGTGCTAGTGCGTACAACCCCAACCAGACTAAATTATAATTCAAATTTTGGTAGTGTTCATATTCGAAACTCCCTATTTAGTTGTAGTATGACAAAAAACTTATTGGAATTGTGAACTCGATCCATAAAATCCCATTATTACAACAATTAATACATACCCTCAATATTTGGCCTATCTCCAATGATGGGACCATAATGAGAAAACTGGTAGAAGTAGATATCGCTGAATTTAGACTGCATCTGAGCATAACGAATTATTCCCCTTGTGAATGAAGTGTCACTATGATACTAAAAAATGAATTGAATTAGGACAGGTGATTTGTATAGCTGAAATATTATATTCTCTGATTTTTAAGATATTTCCATATCAGTTTTTATATACACAAGGGGGAGTCGTTAATCTATGCACAAGATAGGAAGGGCCACTAGGGTCAGTATGGGCATCTCGGAAACAACGAAAATCTGTGATATGACTATTCATTTTTGAGAAATTTCCAGAATACAGAATTTTTCGATTTTCAATAATATTCTTTCCCGCGTTAAGAACGAAGTAATGACAAAACTGAAAAAATACCTTGATGGCAACTTTTGATGCTTTTCAATTTGGCATCATCGATTTTCTTATCCAAAGTTTCGTCTGCGAGTAATCATCATCAACTTCATTTTCTCAGATACGGCCCTGATATTTTTATATCAGGTTCAAATATCCCTATATTCATTTTTTAATGTCGAAAGTACGCTACATATTGGGGTTTTTGTTGCGTTTCAAGCTCATTTCGGCCATCATCAAGTAATTTTTGGAATACTGATCAGAATATTCCATGATTCTAAAAATAGTTATTTATTATACAAGGGAAAAAAGTAGTAGTTTTAGCTCCAGGTTGTGTTGTCTCCCGACGCGTAGCGGAGGGAGACAAAAAACCGTGAGCTAAAATCTAATATTTTTCCCGTGTATAATACACTATTTTTTTCTGTGACAGAAGGAAGGACGAATCAATATTGGGAAGATATTACATTATTTCGAAATCTGAAAATTATCGACGTGAAATTTCAAGTTTTTAACAGTAGGGACACCTGCGTTTTATAGACATCTTTATCATTCTTTTTAAGTAATCAAATATCTGTCACTTCTGTCAGTTCAATTCTGTGATTTGATTTTAAAAAATCGCGAATTCAGTAGTTGTTTAGTAATATACGAAACCGCGAAGTCGAATGGAAGATAAAAGGACTTGCAGTTCTTTCTCGGAGACGGTATTATTGACTTATTTTTCGGAACTATAGCACAACAAAAGCCATTAACAGAGTATATATATGTGATATATATCCGGGAAAGAAGTACTCACTTTTTTCCCACGGGAAAAAAGTAATTTATGAAAAGTGACATTTTATAACCTGTCAACAGAGATGAAATGCCAAACTTTTTTCCCGTCAAAGAAAAAAAAAAGTTTTTTTATCAGATTGAATATTCAACAATACTACATCGATATCAGCATTTAGGAATACCTGGTGCTAAGGCCCCAAAAGGGCAAGCACCAAACCCCAAAAACAAGGTAGTAGTATCTTCCCTAGGGGAACTAGAGCTACTATCAGACGATGAGGTTAAAATAGCACACATCGGAGAAGCTTCGAGGTTGAGGCCCACCTAGAAAAGGGCCTTGATTATATTTCAGCCAAAAGGCTGGTGATCAAGGAGAACTTTTTGAAGAGCAAGGAACCCACAAAGCCATTGAGGTTGGGACCTGTAGCATCAACGTCGAGGGAGGCCGGTGAAGGCACGAAAGCGCACGGTCAACCAGTGCGACACCGCCACAGACCAGCTAGCTGAGGAAGAAACCAAGGCACGAAGGAGTATCCTTCAAAGATGCCCTTACCTCAGTCAAGGTTGCTGTGGTACACACGGGCTCCCCGGAGAAGAAAATGAGTACTGAAAGGCTCACAGAAGTCCAGGACTCAATCTCCGAGGCTCTGGATCAAATCCCCGTAGAGAAATCTCAAGTGCGATTCGCAAAATGCACTCATAAACCGGGATCCTTGGTTATAATGTGCGTGGGTCTTCTCCATGGACAAACAGTCACTGGAAGAACTAGTGAAACTTGAAATGTCTCCCTACTTCAATCTAGGAAGAATTAAATTCAGACAGAAAGGGAAACATGTCAAGGAACAAGAGGAAAACGCCGAGCCAATACCGGAGGCCCAAGAGGCACAAGAAGAGGACGAGACAGAGCCCTCCCAAAGTGGGAGTAGCCCTGCTCTCAAGAGGCAAATAGCACATGAGAGCGCAACAACCATGGAGGAGGAAGATGCCTCGAAGAAGGCGCAAGAAGGGTTCAGTTCACAGAACTGGACCGCAGGATCAGGGTTCTGCAGTTAAATCTCCATCATGCCAAGGCGTCAGGCGCTATGGCATGTAGGAGATTTGACAAAGAGGTTCTTGACCTGGCCCTTTTGCAAGAACCCTGGTTACATGGAGGGAGGGTAGCCGGTTTGAAACCCAACCAAGAGGTAAAGTACTATACGTAGAAAGTAACAATAAACCTCGTGCAAGCATAGTATATAGCGATTGAGTAAAATGCACACTACTACCGGTGCTCTGCACCGGTGATGTTGTTACAGGACTCCTAACCACGCCGACAGAGGTAGGTACCAGAAGCTGGATAGTGAACACCGCGTACTTCCTAGGCGAGGAGGTTTGCCCACCACCGATACTAGGGAAGTAATCGCATAAGCGGCAAGGGCAAACCTCCAACTCATCATAGGATGTGACGCAAATGCACACCATACCGTATGGGGAAGCACAGACGTCAACGTAAGAGGTGAGTCACTTTTGCAATTCATACTAACAGAAAGGTTATCAATAGCTAATGTAGGATGCGAACCAACATTTGTCACGGCAGCGAGGAAAGAAATTCTAGATATAACTCTCTCGTCAGAAAAAGCATGTGATAATATCGTCAACTGGCATGTGTCAGACGAACCTTTGTGTTCTGACCATATTGACAAATAAGATTTGACATAATTACCCCACCTCATATTTCAACAGAGTTCAGAAACCCTAGAGAGACCAACTGGGAAGGATACGCAACATCCATTCCACTATGGCAACATCACTCAGAGAATCTCTACAAAGGACCACGGCTGACATAAGGGACAGCCACAGTCTTGAGAGGTCAGTAGACCAAGTAAGCAAGGCAATAGTTGCCGCCTACGAAGATAACTGTCCGGAAAAAACAAGACAACAAAACAATAAAATAATCTGATGGAACAAGCATCTCAAATACCTACGAGGGGAGGTGCGAAGGCTATTTAACAAAGCAAAACTCGACCAGATTTGGACCACATATAAGGTTGAACTCACGCAGTACAACAAAGAGATCAGAAAATCGAAAACGCAATCGTGGAAAAAATCTGTGAGGAGGTCACAGAAACCCCCACATGTTCAAGGATCCACAAAGTGCTAGCCAAAGAAGGTACTGAACACCAAGTAGGTTTTCTGAAGAAGAATGGCAATACCCACACAGCAACTTTTGAGGAGAGTCTGAAGATGCTCACTGAAGCACACTTTCCGGCCTCAGTAATTCTAAATGAGCTGATAGTGGCAGACAGCATCATTGGCAGGCCGAACAGGCCAACTGCCATGGAATGGAGGCTAGCTCCAGAGATATCGAGGCCAAACAGAATTAGGTGGGCTATCAATAAATTCAAACCTTGTAAATCCCCTGGAATATACCCTATCCTGCTTCAAAAGGGGCAGGAAATACTAATCCCACATCTCTGTCGTATATTCAAGGCTTGTATAGCAATACGATATATACCCATCGTATGACAGAAGGTGACAGTCATCTACCTACCCAATGTGAAAAAGGTGGGTAACAAAACGCCTGAATCATACCGCCCAATAAGTTTGATGTCGATCCTGCTCATATAACACTGGAAAGACTGATAGACAGGTACATAAGAGACGAGGTATTACAAAGAAACCCTCTCAACGAACGCCAATATGCGTATCAGCCAGGCAAGTCAACTGACTTAGCACTGGATGATCTGAACAAGATATTGGAAAGTCGATAGAAGACAAAGAAATAGCTATAACAACATTCGTAGACATAGAACGTGCTCTCAACAATGCACCAACAAATTCTATGATTAACGCCCTAGCCAGGAAAGGAGTACCACTACTCCTGTGCCAGGGGATAAATGTCAATTTGAAAAATAGGGTTATCATATCAACAATTGGCGAGACAACTCTGACAGCTAGAGCAGATAGGGGATGCCCACATCGAGGAGTATTATCGCCCCTCCTATGGGCCATTCTAATGGATGAACTGATCAAAAGGCTAATATCCAAAGGGTATTATTGCTTACGCCGCCGACGACCTGGCGGTTATCGCTGAAAGTAGATTCGCAAGTACGGTCTCGGAACTCACACAAACCGCTCTAAACATAATTATTGATAAGTGGTGTAAAGAGGAGGAACTCACCGTGAACCCTCATAAAACCTCTATAGTGAATTTAACGAAAAAGAGAGTACTGGAAGGATTGAAGCCACCAGTACTCAACGGGGTAGAAATTCCGTTCGTCCTAGAGGCAAAATACTTAGGAGTCATCTTTGACCATAAGTTAACATGGAATCAACACCTCCAAAAAATTGCTGAAAAAGTACAGTAGCCTTCGATCTGAGCAGACGAATGTGCGGAAAAAATTGGGGACTGCAACCAAAAATGACCACATGGCTCTATGCCAGCGTCATGAGGCCTATGATAGCATATGGGTCAGTAGTTTGGTGGCCAAAGACACAACAGGCTGGAGTGATTCGAAGGCTCAGTGCTATTCAAAGGCAAGCTTGCCTGAGTGCCACTGGTGCAATGAAAACCACTTCAACAGCCGCTTTAGAGGTCCTCTTGAATCTGCCACCACTACAAATATATATTCAAGACGAAGCCAGAGCAGTCCTGAGTAGATTGTCAAGGGGTCAAACACCCATAAGCATCGCGCACGGTAAAGACTATAGAAAGCTATATGAAGAGTTGGAAAGCGACCCCATCATGGGAATGCCAACGGATGGCATAATTCCAAAATATAGCTTTGAAGAAACTTCCAAAATAAGTATAACGGACAGAGAGGCATGGAAGGAAGGACCTCCTATCAATGCAGACATTGCTGTCTATACGGACGGCTCCAAAACTGAGGAAGGATCAGGAGCTGGTATTTATAGAGCCAAACCAAAGACAAGAATCTCACTGAGCTTAAGTAAATACGTGACGGTGTTTCAGGCAGAAGTTATTGAGAGTTCAAAGGCAAAACCATTGCAATATATTCAGATAGCCAGGCGACCATCAAAGCAGTCAACTCTATGCAAGTTAACTCAAAACTAGTATGGAACTACATAGAAACCCTAAATGAACTGGGCAGTCAGAACAGACTGACTCTAACATGGGTACCAGCACATACAGGGTACGAGGGCAATGAAGAGGCAGACTCACTTGCTCGAGCAGGAGCCAACAAAGTTCTGAATGACCCAGAACCCTTCTGTGGTATTGCGAAAGCTATACAAAAGACTGGTATCAAATCATGGATGCAAACCAAATCTCAAGAATGGTAGAACAACTCGCCAGGAATGAGACATCGCCAACATTCACAGAATATCTACTGAGCCAGAAACGAAGTTCAACTAGAATACTAGTGGGACTCCTCACAGGGCATTGCAGGCTCAACAAACACATGAGTACGATAGGTCTGACTGAAGAACTGCTGTGCAGGTTCTGTCAGGAAGAGGAGGAAACAGCAGTACACATACTTTGCCACTGTGAGGGCTTGTCAAGACTAAGGTTCCTTACACTGGGTGAGGAAAAACGAAGAGTCCAAAGTTACACAGGGGATCTGAAAGCTAGCCCATGGAGTCTCATAGAGAAGGCGGGGCTAGCCGAAGAACTCCAATCGATTTTGAGGGCAGACACAATAGATCTGAGAAGGTCGCGGTGTGGAGGCAGATAGCCCGAAGGCCCCATTCTAAATCTACTCTCTAATCTAGGAGAACCTGAACAATCAATAATTCAATAACAAACAACAGTAGAGAAAAAACAGATGCACAGATCAAAAACTTCTTTGAACGTCGAAACTATTAGATACGAAACTCATCAATTCACAAGAGATGTTCAAAAAGATTGCGATTGCTTTCTTAGTCTGCATATTATTTCATTACTACCGAATTTGAAACATAGTTTCAGAATTTCGACCATTATATATAATCGAATGCTTATAGAAACATCATTCTGAGTACTAAGTACATTTTGAGCCATTAGATTATTCATCAAACTATATACCCTGCAGAAAGTTCGGTATAGATTTTTGACTCACCCTGTATATAAGACCGAATTATATCCTTGATTGTTCAACGCTATCAAATTTTGTGGAGAGCTTTCTCTCCTATCTTTATCAATGACAATAATTTCGAATACTCATATCAGATACATGATAAATAATTATTTGTCTTGAAGTTACCGGTGGTCTCTACATACAGGGTGTCCCGAAATTACATAGAAATGTTCCAACCACAGATTCTAGGAACAAGAATAGTGAAACAAGTTTATATAAACATGGCCCCAAAAATTACCTCCTGGAGGGTCATACCCCATCTATATAGAGGGGAGCCTGAGATGATGGTCTTATGTGAATAGTTCCAAAACCCTCAGTGATAAAATAACCAAATTTTCCACATGTACACAACTTTATATAACCGATTCGGATGTGTTGAGAAATTTCCGAAATTTTGATCAGGAGAGTCGGAGGAGGTGCCAGGTGCACTTTTTCTTCCAACGTTTTTGTTTATGCAATTTTAGGCCCTTGCCTAAACAGAAAATACGTAAATATCAACATTTCCACTCAAAAATGGTATCCTCGTTCAGTTTCGACAGCATTCACTATCCTCCAGATGAATCGATTCGAAATATCTGCTGCGTCATGAATATCGTTATTTTTTCTCTGATAGGGTACCAAATTTTCCCAAAAATTTTTTTTTGATGGAAAATACCCCTTTTTTTAAGATTTAGGTACTCTGGATGTTCGATTTAAAATATGAGGGGTGCAATAAGAAGAATGGATTGAAAATAATAAGGTATGGAAAAGTTCTATTTCTCAGGTTGGCCAAGGTCGGACTAAGAGGGAAAACGCAAAGTGCAAGGGGCTCACCCCTCACTGAGATTGCACCCCTTGCCAATCTTCCAACAGACAAAATCATTAGGAAGTTCAGTTTTGAGAAGAACTTTCGAGTGGAACTGAGCAACAAGCGCGAATGGAGCATAGAATCCATCGAAGCGCTGGGAAGGGACACCATTACTTGCTATACGGACGGGTCTAAAACACCCGAGGGAACTGGAGCAGGAGTCTTTGGGCCTCGAATCCATGGAACTATTTCCCAGCATGTTTCAAAAGCGGAAATACACGCCATAGGAAGATGCATCCAGTTCAACTTAGACAGGAAATACCAAAAGATGGATATCGCGATTTTATTCGATAGCTAAGCAGCCATCGAAGCGTTGAGTTCTCCTAACATCAACTCGAAGATGGTATAGGAATGCCTAAGCAAATTGAATGAGCTAGGCAGTAACAATGGGCTTCAACGCCACTGATCGGACCGGAGCCATTCTGCGGCCTTGGAAATTCCTATTCCCAAGGAGAACTCGAAGAGGCGGAAGGAGCCTTGAGAGTCAGACAATGGAGAAGACTTCTAGAACTGCGGCAGGCTAAAGATCTCCTCGGAAATTTCAACCGAGAAAGATCTAAGACACTGATAAACCTCAGCAAAGGAAGTCTCAAAGCAATAACGTGATTTCTAACGGGGCATCGCAGACTCAAAGAACACCTAAGGAAGCTAAGCTTACAGGAGGACGGCACCTGCAGATTCTGTGAGGTAGAACCAGGAACACCCATCACATACTGATGGAGTGTGACGCTGTACATCACAAAATATTGAACATACTGGAAACACACCAGCTGACTGTGGAAGAAATTCCACAACTAGATCTTCTCAAAATCCTCAAATTCCTGAAGGAATTGAATCTTGAGGGGCTGCTATGAACAAGAAATCCTTGATATAGCAGAAGCAGATGGGGCACAATTAATAGATCTAATTAGGTCTCAGCACATCTGTCACCATCCAACCTACCAATAGCAATACCAAGGTTTTATTTTTATTACGCTACAGACTTTCAAAATTGATTTATCTCGAAATTGGCTTAATTTTGAGTGAAAATGATGATATTTCCATATTTCCTGGTCAAACTGCCAAAAATTGCATAAATAAAAAAGTTCAGGGAAAAAGTGCCCCCAACCCCACCTATGTTTCACGCCCTTGGTCAAAGTTTCGGAAAATTCTTAACGTTTTCAAATTGGGCATGAAAAGTTAGGAGCATGTACAAAATTTGGTTTCTTTATCACAGAGAGTTCCGGAAATATTTTCATGAAACCATCATCTTGAGTTCGTTCCTGGAATCTGTGGCTGTTATCTTTCTATGTAATCTCGGGAATCCTTGTATAATTGAATGATTCGATCTCAAAACTGACAAATGGAGCTGAACGAAAGCTTGAGAAATACCTACTCGGACGGCTTTTCCCAAATCATCAGCTAATGGCCCGTCAGTATAAATCCTGCGGATGGCTTCTCCTGCTGCCTCTAATTGGTTCGGATCTGTCAAATGCATGTTGTTGTTAACCAATTTAGAAGCGTTGTTGTCCAATTGTCTGGTAGACCATTCGAAGTCGTGAATATCTAAAAAAAATCAAAATCAATCAGCAGAACAATAAATGAAGGATTTCATCAATATCGGAACTGATCTGAGTAAAAATACACTACAAGGGTGTTTCCAAATGTCATATACACAATAAAGGAAGTTTCAGCTTCTTTCTGACCATTTCAGAACTAAACTTCATTTTTTGAATTGACTCGGCCGTTACTTGATGAAAATTCATAAACTCAACAAACTATAAGATTTCCACAAAATTTTCAAACACACGACATGTTTCGCTAACACAGTAGCTTCATCAGGTGATATACTGTTACAAAGAACTAAAGTAACCTTGGCTCGCCTAATTTTTATATATCCTACTTTCCCAACCTGAAGGAATTATTACCTGTGGACATGTTCGATAAACATTCATTTTTGGAAATTAGGCACAATTTATCTACATTGAAGAAAGGTGCACCGGATTAACTAGAATTTCGAAATTATCATCTAAACTATGGTATTCTTCTAATATATGGTTGGCGTATATTGAATTTGTTTTCTTCTCAGAAAACAAATTCAACATACGCCAACCATAAAAAGTATAACTTTGATACGTCACGCATTTGTCAGTCACCCTGTACAACGTTATACGAAATATCTTGGAAATGTGCTGCTCATGAGCCTAGACCATCACAAAAATGTTTGTTCATCTATCTCAAACACCGTTATTTCACTTTCCCATTTCAATGACTTAACATGTATAATATGATAATGATATTATAGATATCTGAGTAATTTAGTGGGGTACCTATTTCAGAATCAAGTTATACAAAATTTGAATAGAACTAAATACAATAAATGTGCACTTCTAGTGGAATATGGCGGAACGTCAGATTGGATGGAATCATTAATTGGCATTGAGTCTATCATATTATTTACTAACTTGAAATATTATGTCGGCAATATCTCTTCTATTTCCAAGATGTTTTTTCTTTCACCTCAGTAATGATATCAAGTATATTATCTGATCTGTATTGAAAAATGATCGGATCAAAATTTTTAGTGAAAGTAATCAGATGGCATTTGTTGAAATTCAGATATGAAGCGTTTTCTGTGCAATATGAATGGAATCTGTCTAAATATTGTTGGATAAGGAAAGGGTCCATTAGTTTCTTCACATTGTGGAAGATCTTCATATCATCAGCATACATTAGAAACCTCGAAAACTTGAAACATTCCGAAATATTATTTATATATAAGTAAAAGAGGAGTGGCCCTAGATGCGATCCTTGGGGTAACAACGAAGTTATGGAAATTGTTTGTGATAATGATGATGATGTTAGTAGTGAATGTCATAATATGATTTTTTTATTGATGATTTCCAGCTTGAGTGTTAGTTTTCATTGTTTCAGCAACTAATTCAGTATTATACAGGGTTCACCATTTGAAACGAAACAGACCAAACATCTGATCCCATGTTCATCCATGAATAAATCGCTCGCACACGTACCAGACCATTCAATGAAAATGTTAGCAGGGTGTCTCCCCCTTGACAGGTTTAGTTTAGTGTACGATAGACTATTTTCAAGAATTTCAGATGTTCGGTCTGTTCCAATCCTTGGAGGTCATCGATAACTTACTAGTGGCGAATGTTATCGCTTCTTCAGAACATGTACCAATCATCATGGGCACGGGATTAATATGCCCTTTTTCCACAGCTGCATACATTGACTCAGTGATGAAGGCATTTTCGTGTTCAGGCTCGATTGTAACTGCGAACACAAATCCTTGGGTGATTTGGTCATTCATCATTTGCGCCTGAAATCACATAAATGAAAATAAATGTACTAAGCATCCATTAAGTCTTGCATACATTTATTTCTAGACAATCCGTACTTCTTGAAATAATTACCGGAATTACCGTGGCATCGCTTGGACAAAGTCAGCTTGCTGTCATATGTGACATTATGGAAGATTCTAGAATATCATTAAACTATCTAGATGAGTTTATATTATTTTTGATCCTTCTGGAACGTTCCAAAACATTGTCTTTCGTCAGGATGATTCTATAATAAAATAGCACATTCGGGAAACATTTTCGAATATCATGAAACATTATAGTTCATTCATTACTTCTTCGAGCAATCAGCATGTCTAAATATTCCATATTCCTTATTCTCCATAACAAAATATCATGTGAATTTTGGAGACTTGGCAACATTGTGCTGAGTGCTGATGAATGACAAGACAACGCCCACAAAGTCGTGGGCAGGGTTGTCACGTTCACCGATTCAAATGTTCTCCAGTGTGAATCAATATAATAATTATTATTTACGCACATTAATTATAAGCAATAAGCCACAAATCATAAGGGAACTTCTTGAAACAATTGAATTTCTATTGCTAATTAGGAATATTAGATACCAATACTCAATTGAGAATTTATGAATTATTAAATAACTAATATTTCTGAAGTTTCCAATCGTATTTCAACACATGGCAACTGTGCTATGGTCTGCCCCTACTTACAAAATTGTGACGTCAGTTTTTACCCGCGGTAAATTTCTATTCGTTTGAAAATTACCGTGGCATTATTGATGATTCTATCACCTAAGAATTGACCGAAAAATTCTTAAAAAATACGAAATTGAAAGGTATTTGAGTGATTTTTCTATTCATGATTTGAAAAAAAATGTGACCACTCGCCTATTCTGATGAAGAAGTGCTTACCGGATAACTCGCTGCAGCTTTCTTCAGGTCACTAGCTGGAACGTTCCTCAAAAATCTCAGCAATTCTTCTGAGCTTGAATTCCTTTGGAAGTTACTATCGACATAAGAAGCTAGGTCATATGCGATGTTCTTGTAATCTTTCTGGTACACCCATGGACACAAAATCGATCCACTTTGAGCAATACTTGCCCTGAATAAACCTGAAGTCGATGGACATATTCTCGTTAATTCGAAAGAACATACGGGCATGGTAACGGTGGGTATTGGTGCTATGGCGGAAAAGTTGAAATTTCGAATGAAATATTATTTACTTTTGGTAAGAAGAAGGTACATGAATCTAAGAATATACACGAAAAAAAAAAGAACTGTTGAATCAAGAAAAAATTAATTGATTGAAGCAAATAAGAGTGTCTTATATGAACGACAAAATATAATCTTGGGATGGGTAAATCTATATCTTGTTTCAGGGCGAATTTGAAGTTTGAATCAAGTGAATATGTCTTGCATGATTTCTGGATCTCGTTCAATCAAGCATATCCATGAATTGTTTATTTAGAGATATCGAATTGGCTCAAACAATCATTTTGTTTGATTCAAAATAGCAAGATATTGATTCAATTGAATATTCATTTGATTCAATGGAATATTTGGTTGATTCGAAGAAATATTCGGTTGATTCGAAGAAATATTCGGGTGATTAAAAAAACTGTATTTCCATTCGCCAAATTGATTTGTTGAACCAAATTCAGTATTAATTCGGGGATTTCTGAAATTTCACATCAATAGAATGAACTAAACTAGGAAACTATAGTCGACTTCTAGCACAAGTCTGAAATTTCACATCAATAGAATGAACTAAAGTAGGAAACTATAGTCGACTTCTAATTTGTTGAACCAAATTCAGTATCGATTCGGAAATTTCTGAAATTTCACATCAATAGCATGAACTAAAATAGGAAACTATAGTCGACTTCTAGCATAGGTCTCCAGTCTTCACTTCCCTTCAGCTGACGCAAAACTATTTCGGATTGCTAATCATCCTAAGTTCGATTCATCCAGCTGATATTTCAAACACGAAGAATCAAACTTCACGTATATATAATGAATTCGAGGCAGGCATAGACGAGTCGAAATGATTGCCATCTAGAGGCGAAAATTTAACTCGATGTAGAATGAACAAAATATTTCATTGATATTACATATTTCCTTGCTCTATTCAAGCAAATGATCCGTTCGAAATAAGTTCATCACTACATCGGAATACGAAAACTTGTTCGCTGTTTCAAAGATATATCTCATCAAAATGATCATTATTTCGTCAAATTAACAAAATGTTTATAGTTGAATCAACATCGACATTATTCTGGATCGACAAAATTTGTTTTTGAGAAAATCATATATTTTGTTGATGGAATTGATATTATACTGTTGATTTGAACAAGCTGCTTCCATGAAATGATCATGTATCTGATTGATTCAACAAAAAATGGCTCAGTCCAACAAAAATAATTCATGCATAAATTTGTTGATGCAACAAATGCCTTTTTTCCGTGTAGGTACCCGGAAATTATGATTTATACTGTTCCAAAGATATAAATAAAATATTGAGTCAATGCAAACTTTTTTTCATAAAATAGGTACAATAAGAAACATATGAAGACATCTTATTTCAAGAAATTCAAATTGAAGTTATATTAATAGATATACATTTTGACCCAAAATAAACTCCACTGCATTAACAATTCATCAGCATGTATATTGGAGACTTTAATGTTATTAAGATTGATGTTCTCATAAGATGAATATCAGTTCATCATTGAGTTATTTTATCAACATGTTGTTTTCTATTTGAATTTGATGTTATCATGGTTCAATTAAACCGTATCTCAATGAAGCGAATCGATACAGATAAAAATCACCTATGGTGTAAAAAACAAGAATAATTATTTTGAAGTGTTTCTTAATAGAAACAGGACAGGTAGGTACCCCATAAAGAGGAAATTGTTGCTTTTACAGTTGGGTGGAAACAGCGTTCTCCATAAAATTTATAATACTGAATAACTGATGGCTCTCGGCCTACCAAACTTTTCACAATGATATAATTAACTTTCATTTACAACTGTTAAATAATAATTATGATTTGACACTTTTTTGAATGTCATAATGACGTTAATCACCGCACTAGTGCCTTTCTGCATCTATTACCGCACTTGTGCGGTGATGAGATAAGAAATGAATTTCAGCCAAAATGATTCGTTCATTATGAATGAATACAAAGAAAATTCAAATAACACTTGTCCCCGCATTTTCAATATCGGATGGTAGATCATCTTCATTCGAAGACATTTTCACTCATGGTTGTGGATATCGATCTAACAATTCATAATAACATCTATAAACGGCTCTGTTTATACCTACTGTTGCTACGGTTACAAAATGATAACAGGCAACTTGTGTTTTCAATTATCAGAAAACTGTCATGAAGGTGAAACATTGAAACACAACCTCACTTTTCTTATCTGTTTACAAAGTTTTTCACAATTATTTCGGCATACGAATCGTGTTTTTCAACTATTCATCATCTCGCGCATGCCACCACATTGTGCTGTTATACAATGCACAAAAAATGCAGCGAGAGACGAAGGAATCCGGTTGGTACATCATGATTTAAAAGTAAGTACCTATATAGTCGCTCACATATAGTTTTGATTTTGAAATTCGGTAATTTCTCTGATTTTCCATCATAGGAATTCCTTCTGCAATAGGAGCTAATAGAAAATAATACTCGTGGAATTTCTGAAAGAATGCAAGGAGATTGAATTCATGCAATCAAACGGGAGGACTGGTCTGACATGCTGACGAAATATGATTGTGTGTGTTGTAGACATTTTCATGCAATCTATTAGTAGTATTAGCTTCTATTGCAGAAGTGGCAGAAGGAATTTCAATAAAAAATTACGAAATTTCATAATGAGAACTATGTGAGATTATTCACCTGAAACATCATACTCTCGCTGCATTTTTTGTGCATTGTACAACAGCACAATGAGAAGGCATGCTTGAATTAATGAATAGCGCATAAAACACGATTCTAATGCCAAAATATTGTGAAAAACTATTTCAATCCTTTGATTCCTCCGTGAACAAATAAAAAAAATAGGTTGGGTTTCAATGTTCTACAGAAAAGTGAGGTTGTGTTTCAATATTTTACCTACAGGGTCGGTCATCCTGCACGCGATCTATTCAAATAGCAATTAAAAAGCATGACCATCCTACTCTCAGTCATCTTCACACACTCTTTAAGTGCGATTCAAGCATTCCAGAAATTATATCCCAAATACTCGATACTATAAGGAGTATAAGGCATCAAAAGTAACCTCCAGGTACGAATCAGAAATGTTGGCGCTATAAGCAGCACCTATTTTACCGCCCCCTCCATTCCCACACCCAATACAAATGTTTGGTTAAGGTGTTCATATTGTGAAGGGGTACACAGATAAAAAAATATTGAGAATGAAAAAGTTATTCGACAAATTCAAGTAATAACTTAAATGAACTATAGGTAGGTAACAGAACATGTTTATAAGCAAAATGAAGGGTAGTCTCTTGATTGAACAAGTTGAAAAACTGATATTTAGAAAATAACTGTTTCACAAACACTTCAGAGTGAGAGGAGACAGGGATCTGTTCGTACCCTGTTAAAATGACAAATACGTCGGTTCGAATCAAGGGACCCTACAAAAACCCACCTTTAAATCTACCATTCGATTTGTTTCGGATAGCATAATTCTTATCTCGTTATCAAATCTCGAAATAAGGTGCAATTCACCGCACAGGAAAGTGCCAGTTTTCAATCATTTTGCTCATGATGGTGATTGGCACAGGTGCCGTTCGATAAAATACAATTATTATTTTACATGCCTTCGGTACATATCGTGGGTCATGTAATGACGTTTCTCATAAAAATCGGAATTTGAGATACTTTGTCAAATGACTTATATCCTTATACTCTATGATCTCACAAAGTGGCGTAGCTCAATATTCATTAGTTTTCGTGTAATTTAATATCGAATACTCAGCCTATCTCAAATTATTGGACTACTAAATCTCATGAAGTGACCCAACTATGGGATTTACGTCAATACGTGAGATATATTTTTATAATATGTTGAAAATTTCTAACATTGACGTATCTCATAATTCGGTTTGCCGTAGAAATTAAAATATCTCGGGTGAAATCTCAAGGTACTGAGAGGGATATTGTACATGTCGAATTAATTTCTGTGTTTTTTTATCAATAAAATTGAATATTCGGATCTGAAATTCGTTTGAATGCACTTTATTTTCATGGCGAGATTCATGGCGTATGTAAGGTCACATTAAATGAACATTATCTCACGTAGTGACGTATCTCACAAACATATTTTCTTCTCTGTTTTAAGCGATCGAATTAAGATGCTGAAAATCTTTGTGCACTCCTGTAAAGTTAAGAATACCTACTGAGATAAGTCATTACCTGAGATGACCGTTGATGTTATTTCGTCATCAGATTTGCAGCCCCGGCTCTTGGACGATTAATTGTTATTATTCACACATTTATGATCTCAAGGTGCACCAATGAACAGAATAGAGTGAAGTATTAATGAATAACTGGTCTTTGAAGAATTTTCTCTATTTCACGAAAAATCGCGGGTGTTTGAAATACTTCAATATACTATTTTAACTTTCCGATTTTCTCCACTCCATGTTTATGTAACGTACCTTCAGATTGTTTGCTCATCAAATGGAAGTTGACTGATGCTGCTCCAGCACTTTGACCAAATATGGTCACTTTTTCTGGATCACCACCGAAATATTTGATGTTTTGGTTGACCCATTTCAAGGCCAAGAGTTGATCCTTCAAACCGTAGTTGCCAGGACTGACTAGGTCACCAGTTGCTAGAAAACCTAAAAAATCAGAAAGAATATATAAATTGGAATGTAACCGAACTAGTCGTTTTTTTTATCTCTTGAAGCGCACGAGAGGAAATTCCTATGATGTTCGGAGAACATCGTGGCTACCTAGGATAGGGAGAGGAGGTAGGTGTTGGAAGTCTGTTTGAACTTTCAGAGGTTCTAAGTTCGTGAGAATACTTTCATTGGCAAATAATTCCAAAGCTGTGCCGTTCTCTAGACGATCCAGTTTTGGTGCAGTGTTGTTCCGAATATTTCAATTCTGACAACGAAAGGATGTGCTGACTGGGCCTGTCGAGTTCGTCTGACTGGTATTGCTACTGATGGAATGACAGCAGATTACTGAGGACTATATCCCCCGTGGAAGTATCTATACGGTATTCTCATGAAGTCAAAGTATTGGTGAGTGTTGCATCACCCATCAGGCGGATGGCTCTTCTCTGAATGGAATCTAAGAGCATCAGCGTATGTTTGGGTGTTGAACCCCATATGGGAGAACAATATTTTGAAACTGGTCGTATCTGTGCTTTGTAGATCATGAAGAGCTGTTAAGGTGTTGAAAAGATTTCCGAGTTTTAGTGAAGCAGCTCTCGCGATATTTAATGAGCTTAATTGGCCTATAGTTGTTGGGCAGGCTTATGTTTTCTTTTTGGGAATTGGTTGGACTCTAGCTATTTTCCAGCAAGATGAAGAAATACTTGGCTTGTTCGAGATGGTGAATTACTTGCAGAGGTAAGAGTAAACAAGAACATATCGCTATAATTCCCTAGGAGATACCGTGAAAATGAGCGATTCTGATTAGTCCTCGAAAACAAGAGTGGAAACCAAATTGAAGAATATATCATGGTATTTGAGATAATCACAAAAAAATCTGGACCTAATTTCAATGAATCTGAGAATCATTTGAATTTTAGATTTCATTAAGAAATTAGTCGAACTGCGAAAGAATATTTCCCGGGCTTGTTAATTGAATTATCAAATTTCACTTTATACTACTCTATCAAGATATAACTCATCATCGAGTAGGTTTTTGGAACTATTTGGTACATTGGATGAGGTGGTTCTCCGTCGCAATATAGCGATGTCTCTAGTTAAAATTCCCTATAAGATACTTCTGCTCCTGCTCCACCCCTCCTTCTCCTCTTCCTTCTTCTTCTTCCTTTTCCCCTACCAATGCGTGTGCCTCCAAGTGAGTCGACCGCAGGTACAGAATACTTTTTTGTTAATATATTGGAGTTGTATTAGCTTCCGAGATATTAAATACAATGGGGGAGGCAAGAATATATTATTTTTCAGGTCTATAAAGGGCGTCTTCGAACACCATCTCTGAGTCATGCACTCCTGGAATATATTGTAATGATATTCACCTCAAAGGGGTTATAGAACATAATCAGGAAGGCAGGGGTACAACGATAACCCAGTAATAGGCGTCCCAGACCACTCTCGAACATCCCAATGATTCTCACATGTACCAGCGTGTTTCCGAACACCCAATATGTGTCACGGCGACACATAACCTGACAGAAGAATCTGGAATGATCTCGAAACAATCGATGGAAAGATTAGAGGGAGGGAGATATTGATCTAGAAGCTTCTAGAACAAAAGAACGGCACCGAAGGTCATTCGAGAACGTTCGAGAAGCAAAGCCTGCCAAGGGATCTAATATATAAGGACGGCCGGACAACTGCGCCGTCAGTCAGTCACGCAGCGAGTGTCAGAGAGACAGTCATATACCGCGTGATATAAATCGTTTTGCATAAATAGTAGTTATAAGTTCGATATAGATTAGTGTTCCTTTAGTTAAAATAAGTCAGTTCGAAAATAAATAGTGTTGTGTTCGCTTCTGCACCCGAATAACGTTGCAATATTAAAAATTTTAATGACGAAGTTACCGAATGGTCCTACACGATAGTTGGCTGTGACGACAATCACATCGTGTTCCATGAAGTAATGGGGCCCAAAATAAGCAAAGTTAGCAGCTCCATTGACGAATCCTCCCCCATAGATATAGAACATCACTGGCAGCGAAGCCTCTGATGTGGGATACTGAAATAAAACGAGGAAACTCATTTTTTAAATTAAAAGCTCTTATCTATCCAATGTACCGGTATGTATACATGTTCAGTATGATCATTTATTTGTATAAAAACAAATATACATTACAGAGAATCAATCATCCCTATCTAACTAGAACAAAATCGAAACACTATGTGACAACAAATGCAGCCGAAAAGTCCATAGGTCAGCAAAATGTTCAATACTAATAATAGGATTTTCAAGTACTTACCAGAAACTTATAACATGTATATTCTTGAAATCAATTCAATCGAATATATCAAGAAAAAATTTAAAGTATACTTGCTGGACCTAGACATTGACATTGTAGCTAATATCATAGAAATGTAGGAACGTACATACATATACAAGGTGTCCGGAAATTATGCGCAAAAAATCAAGGGGGTGATTCTGCATGAGGAAACATGAAATTCATTTCATATATACTTGAGTCCGGAAATGCATAGTTTTCAAGATACAGTGTGTTAAACTTTTTAGAACAAATCGTTTTTTTATGAATATCTCGAATACTCTTTCACCAATTCACTTGAAATTTGGTTATGATATTCTTTGTCATGAGGGGCTGATTTAGTTATTTTCGAATTGAAATTATGAAATCCAGTGGCGTCCCGGGGGCACCGTACCGAATATTTTCGTCAATAAAATGTGCGCCACTGATTTTTTAAAATTATTTATCTCCATATCCTAATGATTAACCAAAAATACATCATTTTAGTCTCTTGAATTGTTTTGCAATTTTGCTGCGTCTCCGTGGAAAAAAATAAATACCAATTCATTGTATGAATTTGTGCAAAACATTGCTTCACAAACAGGGGTGAAATTAAATGTGTTATCCATGTCCATAGACGTAGAATATGAATTGAGATTCATTTTCTTCAAATATTTCATAATACATGTTTGACACACTTTGTATCATCGAAAACTACGCCTTCCTGAACCGAGAATACATAGTTCTCAATATACAGAGTTGAAGTGTGTCAAACATGTATCAAGGAATATTTGAAGAAAATGAGTTTTGATACTTATTCTTTATATCTTATTTTTACCTCAGATTTTGAAAAAAAAATTTTGCACAAATTTACAAGATATCGAAATGTTGTATTTTTAGTTGGTCAATAGGTTATGGAGATACAGAATTCGAAAAAATCAGTGGCGCACATTTTATTGACAATAATATTTGGTAGGTTGCCCCCCGGGACGCCACTGGATTTCACAATTCCAATTGAATTATGGCTATATCAACCCCTCATGACAAAAAATATTATTGCCAAATTTCAAGGAAATTGGTAAAAGGACATTTGAGATATTCATAAAAAACCGATCTTGTTTAAAAGTTTTAACACACTGTATGTTGAAAACTATGCATTTCCGGACCCAGGTACATATACAAAGAATTCCTTATTTCATCATGTAGAATCACCCCCTTGATTTTTTGCGCATAATTTCCGGACACCCTGTATAATCATAGCTCAGGGCATATACTAGTAGACTCAATATTTTTTTTCATACATCCCATTACAACCTGCTGAGGTTTCATGGGTTTGGTTGTTTATTTAATACAATATAGATCAAAATGATCGAAATTACTACTTTTACTACTCATATACTTTGTCATTTGTAATTTTTTTTATCTTACTTTCATATTAGTAATTTTTGTAATAATAAACATATATTATGTATGTATGATTATCTCAATATCATGGGAGAGTTCGGTTTTATTTCAGCAATAAATACAATTATAAGGACACATTGGGAATCGAAAGGCTGCATTGATCACATTTTCATGAAGTATGGCGGAAATAGCAATGACATATTACCGATAGTTCTTAAATCCAACATAACGGATCATTTTGCACAAATTGTGAGAATTGAATTATTTGAATCAGATAACAACAAAATAATGGACAAAACAAAATGAGAAGGAATTAGTAGAATGCATGAAGAAGGAAAATTTTTCTAGGGTTTATTCATGCGAAGATATAGATTCTGCTACCAATATCTTCATAGATACAATAAAAAAACTACGAAAGCGTAGAACGGACATGAGATATGTTTTTCTTAATTTCGTGTTACAACTCGAAATCAGCATAATTTCGAGTTACAACTCGAAATTAGCTTAATTTCGAGTTATAACTCGAAATTAAGCTTTTCTTGAGTTGTAGTACGAAACCAAGCTCTCAATGAGTCAGGTTTTCACAAGAAGTAGTCGAATAAATCTCGGTATAGTACCTAACAGTGTAGTAAACAATGGAAGGAATAATTCATTTTATTTCTCATTGGGGCTAAAACAAATAGAAATTATTTTCTGTTTAGCCGTGAATCATGATATTTTTATTAGTGATCGTCATCCCAGACGAACATTGAGGATGATGAATTTGTACAGAAGAAGAAATAACTATGATATAGCTCGGATTGAAGAGTTTCTTGAATAGAAGCCCTTTTTTCGTGTTACAACTCAAGGAAAGCTTAATTTCGAGTTGTAACACGAAATCAGCACTAATTTCGAGTTATAAATCTAAATTGAGCTAATTTCGAGTTGTAACACGAAATTAGTACTAATTTCGAGTTATAACTCTAAATTAAGAAAAAAAATATCTCTTGTCCGTTCTACGCTTTCGTAAAAAACACATACAAAAATGTACGAAATTTATCAATGTAAGAAACTCCCAATTCATAATAAAAGAGTGGATAACAGATATAGTATCTTGAAATCTGTTAATCATAAAAATAAGTTACATACAATAAAAATCAAAAATCCAACTGAAGAGAATATAAGCACCTATAAAAAATATAGAAACAGATAAAATCAAATTACTATCAGAATAAAATCTCAAAAAGTAGAAATAATTCAACTATAGCTTATGGAAATGTGTTGAGGCAATCACGTCAAAAAAGAACAAAAATGATATTACATATGAAATTGTTGACAATAATGGTGACGTGATTACTGATAATAAGCAGATAGCAGATGATTTTAAATTTTTGTTCTCTAATATTGGACAAAAAATGGCAGAAACAATAAAGCAAAACAACAACTATGAGACAGAAGTTCTAGACCAACCGATCAATTCATTTTCCTTGGGAGATACAAATGAGGAGGAAATAAATGAATATATAAACTAAAAAACAAAAAAGCGCCAGCCCATGACAATTTGACTGCAGAGACAATTAAACTCGTTGCCAAATATATTGTAAAATCCCTCGTATATATTATAAATTGGTCTATAAAAACTGGAATATTCCCATCGTCATTGATTAAGCCATTATATAAAAGTGGAAATAAACGAAATGTATCAAATTTCGATCCCATCTCATTGATCTCAAACTTTGCCAAAATTTTCGAAATGTTAAAAAAAATCAATTCCAAATATGCAATATTATCTGACAATCAATTTGGGCTCAACTGAGAGTAATAATATTTTGTATAATAATGTTTTGAATCGGAATTTCTTGTTGCCGCTAAATTTTTACAACACATTTAAAATGTTAAGTTTATATTATAATATACACTCACCATTGGAGTATAAACATTTAAATACAAACAATCCTCGTTTTCCATAAGCGTCAAGTTGGCCTCGTTGTAGATGTTACCTTGTTGATAACACACTTTCGTATTTTTTGTCGCATCCAAGATACCCTCCCATCCTTCCTCTGGCTGTGCATCCTATATAAAAAGATTATGATGATAAAAATAACATAAATTAATTTTGTAAAGTACTACAATGACTTCATTTGAGTTTATGATTTCTTTTCTACGATGACAAATTTCATAGGGTATTGTCAAAATATACGTGAGCACCCTGATGAATGATGATCTTACCCTAAATCTCAGTTCTCCTACTGGCGGTTTCGCAAACGGGATTTCTTGGAATGCATAAAATGAGATATTCCTCAAAGAATATTCTTTTCTTCCCCTGATAGTCCCTTTTGGAATCGTAACTAAAACGTCTGCATTCTGGAATATAACGAAAAGAACTATGATTATGTTGAAAAAATAAAAACTCACAGGGTCAATTCGGATATTCAAACAGCTTTTACATCAGGGTTCACCATTGAAGTTAAAAGGAATCTTCAAATACAATGTAAATTAGGGTTTGAAATATAATGACAACTCTCGTCTCCATAACGTTTTTTAATGTCAAATTTAAGAAGGGGGGGGGGCATGTTTCGGACCCAAAAGGTATCCATCATCAGCCAGAAAGGAATCATTCCACAAAGAACAACGAAATAGTGAGTAGGTATATCAAGTAAAACCAATTGGTACTCACTTGGAGAAGAAAAAAGCAACAACATGGTCATAATGAGCATGGTCATGAAATAGTTAATAGAACATGTTTATAGTTTTGAATTAAAATTGAGAATGAAGCGGACATGTATTTAAATTGAGGCCCTGTACCCCAGATATTTGCTCAACGACCCCGTACATTCGGTAGTAGTGAGCAATCACAGAATGATTGAAAAAATCCGACAGAAAGTGATAATATTGATGAAAACTATTGATAAAGATCAATCGATTTCTCATATGAACATCTCATGTCTCATAGATGTCGAGTCAAAACTCACAACCGACAGCCAACGTCAAAAACCTCAGCTGTCATCAATGAAGCGAGACAAGAACGAGAGTTTGTGGAGACGACTTGGAGAGTTTTTATTTTATTTTAACTACTTCACTCCACTTTGAGATACCATTGGATCTCTACAGTAGATCCATTAAGGGTTTGTTCTCAACCTTCGGAAAAGTGTACGAGATGAAAAATGAATATTGCTAATATAAAGAAATGCATGGGTATAGTTTATCCAAAAACAATTGCAGAATCTTGTGTCGCACCTGCAGTCACTTCAAAGAAAACTTCAAACACGCCGACGCCGCACAGTGCGGGATATTCTGCAATTGATATTGGATATACTTTACCAACTTCGCTATTTGCAATCGATCTTCACAATGGGGATCTCAGTTATTATGAAAGATACAAGGTCGGTTAAATCAGGGCAAAGCTGCGCATTTCCATGCTAAACCTTGGAATCAGAAACAAAAAGACTTTTCAAAAATGTGAAACTAATATGGCGCCTATTAGAAGAAACAAAGTTGTGTGTTGTAACTTTGGCATCAGGAACGTCATGGAAAATACGATGACAGATTCAGATTCCTTGTAAAAAAGTGCATTGAGAATGTTCAGTATGGAAATGCGCAACTTTGACCTAATTTAACCGACCTCGTATCTCTCATAATAACTGAGATCCCCATGGTGGATTTCGAAAAACGGACACCCTGTATAGTATTTGAAAAATTTGAGGATCTTTCTTTTCTGATTTCAAGAACATAAAGCTGTTGATATTCGGTTCAGTCGTTTTCAATATATTCGAGGTTGAACATTTTTCATTTACGGTTTGCTTTTACCAAATCGCTGTTGTCATGAAGAACCAACAATATATATATGCAAGAAAATATGACAGAAAGTTTGATGAATGACAACCTGCATATGTATGTTGTTGATTCTCCGAGGCAATTGCGATTTGGTTAAAGTAACTAAAAAATAATCAACCCCAAATATTTTGAAAACGACTGAACGGTATACATATAGAGGGTGAGTCAAAATAAGATCATCAAACTTCGTACACGGATTCCTCACCTCATTTTGAGGTGAAAAGTTCCTATCAACGTATGCCCTAAAATGCATACTCACTGATATACAAGGTATCCAAAGTACGAAAAAAGTTGAGATTTCTCTTCCCAGAACCCCCCTATAGCGAAAAATATGAAACTTTGTATACCAATCCAGATTAATCAGAGTAATCAAAGAGAGTTTTCATCCTGAATTTCGTCAACTAGTGGCGTAGTAAGGGTCGTATGTCGCCACATCTTCCTTCAAAATTTTTCTCAGACAGAAGAATTATCAAATAAGAGAATGGCATCAGTATTAGGATTATCTATACTCAACCTAGAAGTAATAACATTCTGCATGCCTAAATGTAGAGGTTCCGGAGATATTTGCGAAACACTTGAGACATGTCTTGAGGTAATATTGAGTAGAGGCCTATAGCGTGCCATACTTGCATAATGCTGATATTATACGAGATATCGATATCAATTTTCAACCCCCGGAATATTTTCGAATGTCGCAAAATTTAACATTAACATTGTGTGGGTGAGTCAGAAGTGAATCGACAAACTCGATGTTGATACTGGTAAGCCATCTCAAATTTGTCAGAACCATCAAACTATTAAAACAGCAGTTTTCGATTAAATGAAACGATGGTAACGTTTTTAATATGTCAAACAGTGATAAAATGTAATTATTTTAACAGATTATTTGGTGCATACAATTTTCATGCGCTAAAGGAAAAACAGAAATTGAATTCAAAGCAAATGTACCTCCATTTTGTTCAACACATAATCGACATCTTCTGATCATGGACTGTCGCACGTTTTGCCTGGTGTATTCTGGATTACTATGTCTGCTGCTAAAATTTTAACAGTTAAATCTTCTACAGATTCTAAAAGAGTAAAATAGACTATGGATTCGAGGTATGTACCCCTCAAAGGAAAAAATCTAGTGGAGTTGAATCGGTAGAACGTGCAGACCAATGAACGGGACCATATCTACCTATATCCACTGATTAGGAAAATTCTGATGGTCAAGATTCTGACGAATTCTATGCTGGGAATGGACCGGTGCTCCGTCGTGGTGATACCACATTCTTTGACGGACTAAGATAGGTATTTCTTCAAGTGAACCAGGTAGAACTACATCTAGAAATATTCTGTAGGATTGTCCATTCAGATGAGGAGGAAGAAGATATGGTCCCACAATATAATTCTCGACAATACCTGCCCAAATATATAACTTCTGTTGGTAACCGTCTCGGAACATACCATGAGGATTCACTTCATCCCATGAATTGTTATTATATTTGGTATTTCCCAAGAAACCATCCACAAAAAACCCTACGGGGACCATAATCACCAGTTTTTAGGGCCATCACCTTCTGTAGACTAGAAAACTTGCATATTATATGCGGATGCCCGAGTACTGGTAGAAGGATTTTCTGCTAATCGGTCAAGAATTTCCTCTTCAGAATCGTTATCTCTTATCATTTTCCTTGTCCCACAATTGTGTTTATTCAATTTGAAAGACCCAGTTTCCTGGACAGCTGAAAGATTTGTGAAATGTGGATGATGTCTATTTCGATATTTTTTTTATGTCCTGGATCCCACGAGAAGGAATATCCTGTAATGTTCAGAGGAAATCGTAAGAACCAAGGGAAATGAGGTAGGAATTGGTGTTCTTCTTGAATTTCTGGAAGTTAAATGCCTCGGGGAACATCACCCTTGGCAATGTAATCCAGAGCTTCGCTGTTCGTTGGATGAACGAGTCTTTGGAAAGAGATGTTTTGCAGGTCTCCAAAGAGACCACGAAGGGGTGCGACGCCACAACTCGACGGGTTAATCTCGCGAGGACTGCCAAGGAAGGAACAATTGTTGATATTTCAGAAGAGCATCGTCATTGCAAATATCTATGAAATTGAGCCAGATCGTCAACTTTTCTACGTTATTCCAGAGAAGTGAGTGAGTTTGTGAGCGAGGCATCAACCACGAGACAAATTTCCCTTTTTTGGACAGAATCCATATGTTTGGGTGCTGCACTCCAAATATGGAAACAGTATTCCAGAACAGGTCGGATCTGTGCCTCATAGATCATAAGAAGCTGATTGGAAGTGAGATAGCTACTGGCCCGAAACTGAAAACCAAGTTTTTGGAATGCACTTTTAACAATTGATCTCACGTGATTCTCCCAAGGAAGGTTATTTCTGATAATAATACCAAGCATCGAAATGGATGTCTTCATAGGTATGGTTACTCCTGACAAGCTTATGTTGGGCACAGTGAGATCGACTTTTCTAGAGATAAGGCATGCTCGTGTTTCGTTTGCATTGAAATCTACCAAGTTATTGGATCACATTCGAGAATTGTTGCCAACTCCATATTTATGTTGTCAACATTTCTCCCTCGTTCATTCCTGATTTGCCTGGCTGGTATTGCCCTGGAAGAGGAGGCGGTATGGAGGGTACTATCATCCGCGAAGCCGTGTACTGGACATGAAGTTGCTTCCAACAAATCGTTGATATGGAGTAGAAATAGTGTTGGTGCTAGAATTGATCCTTGCGGAACACCAGCATTTATGATAAGAGAGTCAGATGAAACTCCGTCGACCACTACATGGAGAGACCTGTTTGAGAGAAAACTAGCTAGCAGAGAACATATCTGGGGAGGCAAGCCATAAGATGGAAGCTTGGTGAGGAGTCCGTGGTGCCAGACTCGATCGAATGGCAATGTTCATAATAGCCTCAATTTTGCAACTGAGTATAATGAATGAAAAGAACATTATGGAGTAAAGTATGATCCTCTCGATTTGTTCCATACCTGCGTGTTAGAGTAATATGCAATGATCATATTCACATATTCGACAACTAGTTTCTCAAATAGGTTGCACTTCAAAACTTCAATATGAGCTGTTCACCCCGAAATCAAGTGTGGAATTAGAAGTAATGGATGCTCATCGAAATAATTATGACTCACCCGTACAATGCTTTTAATCTTATCAACAACATTCAAAAATGTTCAGGAGGTTGAAAAATTTTGTGATTTCTCGTAAAAGTCCAGCATTATACGATTATAGCACGCAAAGAATATTGGGTCACAACTTCTAGACATATCTGTAGTTTTTTACAAATATCTTGGGAACCTCTACACTTGCAGGCATGCAGAATGTTATTATTATCAGGTAAGGTATTGATAAGACTAACTGATGTCATACACCATTTAGACAATACATCTGTCTAAGGAAAAATATGAAGATAAATGTGGCGATATTCGACCCTAAGTACGCCACTGGTTGACAAAATTAAGAAATGAAAACTTTATGTGATCACCCCGAGGATCACCCTGATTAATCTGGACCGGTATACCGAGTTTCATATTTTTTGCTACAGGGTTTCTGGAGAAATTCAAATATATCTTAACTTTTCTCGCACTTTTGACACCCTGTATCTCAGTGATGATGCATTTTAGGACATATAATGATGAAAACTTTCCACCTCGAAATGAGTTGGGGAATCCGTGTACGAAGTTTTGTTGGTCATATTCTGACTCACCCTGTATACCTCATTATTTTTTAAATCAGAAAAAAAAGATCTCCAATTTTTTAGAAATATATATATAGGGTGTTCTGTTGAAAATGACGGAGTTGGTAACCGTATTTCTTATATTTCAGCGATATTCATTTGTATTCTATCTTCAAAGGAGAACCCTGATGTAGAAGCTGTTTAAATACACTCAGTTCCAAAAAAAGTGACGCACTTGATATATAACCTATCTTTAAAAAAAAATAGTAGGCCGATTTTTATTTTTTTTATTTCTTGGTAGGTAATGCATTTGTCCTTGAAACAACAGAATTGAGAGGTGGAAATGTTCTCAAAGCCTCCTTGATGGTGGTGGAATAACTCGAACCATGATTTATTCTTAGTTTTTGACTCACCCTGTGTGTTAATTGAGTAATGGTATACGAAGTGCTTGCACTCTATACGAAAGAGGCTTTATTTGCGAGCATTTATGTTTTTTTATTAATTGATTTATCTCTAAAATTTTTCGAATTAAAGCTTTTTTGCTGATACCTTACGCTTATCCCACAAATTAAATTTATTGAAGGATCAGAGTACTCAAAATTGATTGGGTTGTACTCTGGTAGAAACACATTGTCTTTAAAAAAGCAAAAGCCGTTGCCATAGCAACTAATTTGTTGTATGCCTCCATATTTGACCATTTGTCGTTGTGTCATTGATTAAGTGTCTTGTTTTATTGACTAAAATTACATAAAATGCCTCAAATAGATCCTGCACAAGTAGCAAGATTAGTTGTGTTAGTAAACGATGGGAGTAGTAAACGTTACGCCGCTCGTGCAGTGGGAGTTCATGTAGCAACTGTTCGTAGAGCAATCCGCAAGTACGAACAAACAGGAAGCACCGCTCGGAGGGTCGGTTCTGGTCGCCCACGAAAAACTTCTCCAAGAGATGATCGCTTCTTGAGATTGCGAATTTAACGAAATCGATCAAATACTGCGGTAAATGTTCAGCAAGATCTTCGCCAAATTCGTGATGGTGCAGTAAGTAAGCAGACGGTATGTAGACGTCTGAAAGAAGTTAAGCTAGGAGACCTGCAAAAGGTCCCAAATTATTGCCAGAACATCGTCCTGCTAGAAGAAATGTTGTTGAAAATTATGGACAGTGGAATATTCCTGAATGGTCGGATGTCTTGTTTACGGATGAGTCAAGGTTTTGCCTTAACATGGTGGATGGAAGAAAAAGAGTGTGGAGAAGAACTGGTGAACGGTTTAATCAAAATTCAATAACAGAATGCGAAAGTTTTAATGGTGGGTTCGTTATGGTGTGGGGAGGGATTTCAATGAATGAAAAAACACCCCTTCATGTTTTTCCGGTGAGGCAGTCGATGAATGCCCAAATTTACATTGACATTTTAGAGCAGTATATCTTACCTTATGCAGAGTTAGTGGGCAATAATTTTATATCGATGCAGGATAATGCCCGACCACACGCCGCAGCAATAGTGCGAATCTTCTTAGAAGCTACTGGTATTACCACATTACAATGGCCTACGAGAAGCCCCGATATGAATCCTATAGAACATTTGTGGGATCAATTAGGGAGAAGGGTACGTTATCGCGAGAGGTCTTCGGAAAGTCTCGCAGGAATGGGAGATGCATTAGTGGAAGAATGGGATCGTATACCAATGGAAACGATAAGCAACTTAATTTCCAGTATGCCTCGTAGATTAGAAGTATAATTTGTGTTTAATTAAAATGTTTTTCAAAATTATTGGTATCAGTTTATTTCATTAAAAAATTGTTTCTCGATAAATTCAGAAAGTTGGTAATCTGCAAGGATTCAGCAAAAAAAGCTGTAATTCGGAGAATTTTAGAGATAAATCAATGAAATAAAAAACAAAATGCTCGCAAAAGAAGCCTTTTTCGTATAGGGTGTAAGCACTTTCTATGTCATTACTCAATTAACACACAGGGTGAGTCAAAATTTAAGAATAAATCATGGTTCGAGTTATTCCACCACCATCAAGGAGGCTTTGAAAAAATGTTCACCTCTAAATTTTTTTTCAAAGACAAATGCATTACCCACCGAAAAATGAAAAAAAATTAAAATCGGCCTACCATTTTTTGTTTTTTTTTCAAGAAGATAGGTCAAATATCAAGTGCGTCACTTTTTTTGGAACTGAGTGTATACGGAATGACCCTGTACTGTATCTGCTAATTAGTTGAAACATTAAGGGAGTTACATTATTCAGGTACACTTTGCACTTGGTAAATTATATAGAGTGTCATGTATAGTGTATAGGGTATCCAAAAAATTTCAAATTTAAACAGGCTTACCACATATACGTATGTTGTCAAAAGGTAGATCACATTTCTTAGCAACATCTTGATTCAAAATGGCAACTAGAACATTGGTTGTTTGAATTTTTATTGCAAGTTGCTATTCTTAATCGGATAATCATTATCTCCATCTTTATTAACCTGAGATCACAATCTTATCTCGACGTATAAGGTCATCATGATTGTGGTTGCTTTGATTGTTGAACAGATTAATTTATAAACACCTTAAATAACAAGTTTCCATCGTTCAAGTTTGCACCTCTCGATTGGGTGAAAGTATCGGAAAGGAATATTCTCTGATATGATCATGAACATAAAAAATGAATATATATATTAAGAAATATATGACTTCACTAGAATCAACTCATTTCGGATGTCAAATCCTGATCAGTAACCTGAAGTCCAGTTATTCTTTCAGCCATTCTTCATGAGATACACAATAATAATAATAATAATAACCTGTTTATGCGAGATATAATTCCCATTTCACTGATACGAAAGATTTTTCGTAAAGTTCCACTCATCAAGATCAGAGTTTATAACAAGTATGCTTCTCCTATACATTTCAATTTTTATTCCAATACCGAACATGTTGGTAAGTTATATTTTGATACCATAATACACCATATTATTTTTTGCGATTTGAGAGATAATGTCAATGTTCGACATGGCAAATAGCCAGGAAAGTAGTTGTTTTCTGTTGAATATTCAGAATGATATTATCATATTATGTGCATATACATATCTTTACATGAAGGAGAATGCAAATTCACTACTTCAGAAGATTTTGTTTTCGAATTCTCACCGTGTGTGTTCGATAGATATACTCAATTCAATCTTCGTCGTGGCATATAGCCAGGAAAGTAGTTCTTCTCTGTTGAACAAACCAAGAAAAAATTGATATTTTCATCACATAGAGAATGCGAATTTCTGTATTCATATTATATCCATATGTACATAATTTATATCTGAGAATATTCATTTCCATTACTTTTGCACTTATTTAACAAGTCAAAAAAATATGCGAATAAATACCAATGAACAAAAAATTGTATTCATCATTATATTGTGTTTATGTCTGTGATGGAAAGGCGTAGTTATGGAAAGGGGAAAGGGGGATACTTACCCCTCCCCCTCCAGGAATAATAATAATTTGTGAGTTAGGTAATAGATATACTGGACGCTTATGTTTATGACTGTTTGCTCTCTGATTTGTTTTTCCAAAGAAGTTTCGTTTTGTTTCTATATCTAATATACAGTGAGGACGTCCTTTAACTCATTAATGATTCAAATCAACAGCAGGAATCGGTTGAATAAACAAAGACTATTTTGTTCCTATAATACAATATCTGCTCCTATGAACGATTCAGTTGATTGAAATGATTATATCATTTCATTCAACTGACGAAATTTTCAGTTTCTCAGAGAGTGAATATGTTAAAATATCAATATAATATATTCTTCGATCAACCAAATTGTTTTTAGAATTGACAAAATATTTTGCTGAATAATATTAAAAAGAAATCCAATAACTGAATTTCAAAAAGAGAAATTAGAGATCAATTTCCTCAGTTGATTCAAGACTATTAGCTTGTATAAGCGTCATAGGAAATTCTGAGACAGCCTAATATAATTATATAAATGGATGTTTTAGGTAGGTATATGTACACCCTAATCGAGGCAAGCGTAGGAAGGTTGGAAGAAACGCCACCTGGTGGCAAAAATGCAACTAGATAATCATTCAACAAAATATTTGTTTGAGATAACAATATATTTCTTGATAGTGATGTGTTGAATCAACAAAATTTAATGTTGTCATAATCAATTCAACTTTGTCGAATAGAAAAAAACTATTGATTGGTTGCACAATGGAATGATTGTTGACTCAACAAAATATGATTTTGTATTTAGTTAAATCTTTGTCAAAATTAATTTAATTTTGTCGAATAGGCAAAATGCATATGATTGATTGAACAATGAGATAATAGTTGGATCGACAGAATTTGTTTTATGTCAACTATAAATGTTGTTGAATGAAATGAAACTTTTGTTTCCTTGAATAGGTTGCTCATTTGGATTGTACATACATTTTGTTCATTTTGCAAAATTGTGTTTATCTTAACAAAAATGACCAAAATTATTTTGTTGGTGCAACAAAACTTTTTTTCCGTGTACAATTTGTTTCTGCACCGAAATTCAAACATGATGACATGCCATTTTTTTCCTCAATGTATGTTCTAAAATCTAGAGAGACATGTATATATAGCAGTTTCATATGAAAAACAAATGAATTTTCGACCAAAATGTGTTAAATAATTGATTCATCGATAAGTCGAATGAAAATATTCTTGCTGATAGAAGTAAGTTCCTCTGTTATGTGCGACTCATTCTGAATATTCTTGACCACATCTCATCTATCCACGAAGTGAGATAGAATAACAATTTTAATCTACTTATTTTTCGAAAAAATCACATTTGACCGCAAGATTACACTTGTTCTGACCTGTTGAACTTGAATATGTAGAAATATACAGGGTGCTACATTAGAAAAAACGAAGTTGTTAGCATTTCCAGAAAAACCATGAGTACGCCATTTTGGATTTGAATGTACGGGAAAAAAGGGATTGTTGAATAAAGCAAACTTTGATTGAATGGAGCAAATGAAAGTGTCATATGTATATGCACGACAAAATATAATCTTCAAATTAGTTAATCTATATCTTGTTTCAGAGCGAATTTGAAGTTCAAATCAAGCAAATAAGTCTTGCATGAACTCTGGATCTTATTCAATCAAGCACATCCATGAATTGTTTATGATATTGATATTGATTTGCCTCAAACATTCATATCGATTCAATGAGATATTCTGTTGATTCAATAAAATATTTGGTTGTATCAAAGATTTTTGGTTGATTCAATGAATTATTTGGTTGATTCAATGAAATATTTGGTTAATTCGATGAAATATTTTGTTGATTCAATGAAATATTCCGTTGATTCAAGAGAAACTGTATTTCCATTCGACAAATTGTTTTGTTTAACCTAATTCAGTATAAATTCGGTAATTTTCGGAAATTTCACATCAATAATAAAATAAACAGAACTAGGAAACTAGTCGACTTCTAGCATATATCTCCAGTCTTTACTCCTCTTCAGCTGATGCAAAACTATTTCGGATTGATAATCATCCTTAGTTTGATTCATCAAGCTGATATTTCAAACACGAAGAATCTGGCTTCACGTTTATATAAGGAATTCGAGGCATGCATAGACGAGGCGAAATGATCGCCATCTAGAAGCGAAAATTCACCTTGATGTAGAATGAATAAAATATTTCATTGATATTACATACTTCGTTGTTCTATTCAAGCAAATGATCCGTTCGAAACGAGTTCATTGCTACATCGGGATAAAAAAACTAGTTTGTTGTTTCAAGGATATATTCTCATCATTTCATCAAATCAACAAAATGTTTATAGCTGAATCAACATCGACATTATTTTGGATCGACATAATTTGTTTTTGAGAAAAACATATATTTTGTAGATGGAATTGATATTACAACTGTTGATTCAATTAGACTATCTGGTTGATTCAACAAAAAATTGCTCAGCCCAACAAAAATAATTCAAGCATAAATAATTTGTTGATGCAATAAATCCTTTTTTTCCATGTAATCAGATACGAAATGATTGCTTATACAGGGTGGGGCATTAGTACGTCTGAGCTCGATTGCTCGATAGCTAGAAACTCGATCCAAAAACGAATGTGAATGAGACAACAAGGTCCATAACTAGAAAATATTGGCGCATATACAGGGGGTCACTGGAAAAAATCTAGAAGGTCAGGATCACTTTTTTTGAATGGCCCTAATAGCACACAACGTCCTAGGGACGTTCCTATTTGTCCTAAAAATAAGTGTCCTTGGGACATTCCTTCAAATATCTCTGCACAAACGCCCTCAATATTTCCAGGATCGTATGACAATCGAAATGTCCCTTAGGGACATCTTTAGAATGTCCCTCAGGGATATCCGTCCGATGTCCCAATTGGTACATGAACTGTACTTTTCCAATGTCCTAGAAATAACGTCCTATGAACGTCCCAGTCGGTACTTTCAATATGTTGTCCCGACGAATGAATGTCCCGACAGGATGTCCTAAGGATATCCATGGGACATAAGTGTGTTATTAGGGAGAATGCCCTGTATATTAGCACATTTTTTCAAGCATCCCTGTGACCTCTAACAATTCCTATAATATTGTTGACTATATCTCGTTCATTCCAAAGTTATTAATTTTTTGTCGAAATAATGTCATCTGCATACCGAAAAAATCACTGTAGTCACAATTGAGAAATTCAAGAGAAAATAATCATAATATCATTTGATAAAAACATGCGTGATATTTCTATGGGATTTTCATGCCCCCAAATTATACAGGGTGGCTAGAAATGATTTTTCAATTCAGAACTTTTGGAAGTGATTTTTCTCGAGTTTTTGAAATGGAAAACCCCATATATTTCTTGGCCATTCGGTGTAAAATAGAAACACGAACATCTCCTATCTCAACATCCATATTCATATTCGTAATCATCTTTGAATTATTGAACTTCGAAAATTATACGATGGCCATTTTCATCGATACACATTCTCATCTGTTATTGAAACATTAAAAGTCCAATTGATAATTCATTAAACTTGTTTTTCCATCGAAAGAATTGATACCAGAATCAAAGTAAACAGAAATAGTCTCGGAAATAGTTAATATGGTAGTTATTCACAAAGTGAAAAAGAACAAAATTCCAATTTTGCATAATTGTGAATTATTATCCTGGTTTTGTTTTTAATGTGCTATGAATTTATGAGATATTTTGAAAATGGAATATTTTTCTTTTTTAAATTTGTAAATTACTAGCATATAAACTATATCTGATGTTTGCTCTAATTCTGGTTTCAATTCTCTCAATGAAAAACTAGTTTACTTAATTATTTATTGGACTTTTGATGTTTTAATAACTGTTGAGAATGTGTATCGATGAAAATGGCCAACCTATAATTTTCCAAGTTCGATAATTCAGAAATGGTTACGGTATTCAATATGGATGTTCAGATAAAAATTGTTCGTCTTTCGGTTCTACACCAAATGACCTAGAAAAACTCGAGAAAAATCACTTCCAAAAGTTCTGTATTGA